GAAATAATTGATAAAGCACGATTATTGTGTAGATCATGATCATCATCGATAGACGTGTTTAGTCTTATGCTATAACCTTCGAAAAGTGTTCAACATTCATCAGTGTAGAAGTGATTCCACATATCATAATGCCTTCATCTTTACCAACTTTGGTTCATAGCAATATCTTTATCTGACCGAGTTTTGCAATGCATGTTTTCACGTCGATTTTTCAAGCAACTTTAATAAAATATATAGCATTCGCCATGTTAATCTTTCTGGAATTTGTTGATCTTTCCTTGCTAATATTAAATGACATTAATGATGAATTTTTAGTGGTCAAATAATCCCAGCATGACATGTAAATGTTTTGACGTTGTTATTAGTAGGCAAGAAAAATAATTTAACATTGATGTTTTTATGTATGTAGTCTTTAACCTTTGAGTTTCCATGTGTACATATAAATATAGACTTTCAACCATATCCACGATTTCTATATTTACGAGTCCTACACGTAATTTGGTGACACACACACACACACGAAAACTAGTATTAAATAACTCGGCTAAAATAAAAATAAATAAATAAAAAATTTAAATCCTACTATTATTATTTATGGGGATTTTATTGTGATTATGGGGCAATACAAGCAATAAAATATAATGCCCTACGGGCTAAGCATTACATGTATTGCAACTGAACTGCGGTTCAACCACGATTTGCTAGCATCGGTAAGCTTTAAAAACACAAATTTTATTCATAAGCTAAAACAGCAACAAAAATCTTCATATACATTAAACATCTTGAAGACCAACCATTAAAAAGTAAAAACATGCAGCTTCAGTGAGCATGGACTTTGGAACATGACCGAGAGAATTGAAAGGTAAGACAAATTCAGAGACCGCGTTGGAGATGAAGATCAAGTTGAAGGGTGGAATCCTTCTGGATATTGTAATCAGCCAAACGGGACGACACAAGGGGCGGCATGGGGTCACGCGACCCCCAACTTTTCTAAGTTTTTATCTCAATTTTTGAAGACATTATGTGATGCCAAACGAAATTGAAATATTACATTCTTAATACTATTTTGAAATGCTAAAGGCCTAGCATCGTTAATGATACGCGAAACGGCCAATTGAGCGAATGTTATGGCTTGTTAGGGTCCAAATTTAATTATGAAACCGTTCGGATTCGATTCCCCGATTTCAGTAAAATAATTATTTTTTTAATATTTACAAAAACGCTATATTAATTCAATTGATGACGTGTTCAATCTTAGCTTAGTCCAATCCTGTGATATCTTTTGTGCATCTCTTTGTTGAGTTCATCATATATTTTACTGTTAAAATCACAGGAAGATAACAAGTTCACAATAATGCCGAGTTTTGAATTCGATATTTCCAAAACGGCACACGGCACTACGGTAGAATAAGATATTTGGATAAAACTTAGGTTAATTTGATTAAGTTGGACTTTACTATAAATTAGAAATAAGAAAAATCATATTTTGGGTTAGCCGCTAAATTAATTAGTTAGCAAATTTATTTTTTTAAAAATAAAATAATTTGATTTATTTAAGATAAAAAAGTTAAAAAATGAAGAAGGTGCGGTTCTTCGATTGTTGGTCTAGAACCAAGCATAGAACCAAACCAAACCGAACCATTTTATTCTCGATTCAAATATTCGTTTAGGTATTTAACTTAAGAAGAACCGCTCAATTCGATTCAATTCGAGTCCAGTTCAATTCGAATCGATTCGGAAGTTTTGTCTAACTCTAAATTTATTTAATTAACATTTATTATTTTTGCACGATACATTACTCTATATAGTTACAACATTTTATTAGAAAATTTTACAAGGTATGGTATGAAATTTTTAGAAATTTTATATCCGAAAATATGATACCACGTGTAAATCTTCAAATGTAAAATTTGAATATAAATTTTAATGGGGTATATTTTTTTTGGATGTAAATTTTTAAATGCAAAATTCCTCAACTTTTTGCAAGTTGGATTGTACCCCTAATTCAAAATGTCTATGCCTACCACAGTAGCAGCTGCTTGCTAAGATCAACCTCTGCTG